TGGTGAATATAAGTACATGGGTCCAACTATTTTACTTAACCTCGGTTTTACCCCACGAGCATTGTCAATAAGGGTCCGTTTGGTTGGAATTTTTTTCCCTTGAAAGCCAGCCAAAAAATGACATTTTTGATACTTTTGACAGACTTTCAAGAGAGCATTTCCCTCAAAAACAGGGAACCAAACAGCCCCTAAACTTTTAACTGTGCTAAGTTTATTAGGAGTTAAAAGATACAAATTCTAAGCTGAGGGACCTATTTGATACAAATATTAAACCTTTTAAATTCTCTGTCCCATTATTTTCGTTATCTACAATCCTGTTTGATTAAACTTTTTCTTAAATATGTGGCATTTGCATCCATTAGGCTAGTTACAATGGGGTAGTTGAATGATGAATTAAATAGTTGAATGTGTGTAATGGGGGTGTTGAATGGGATGTTGAAAATGAGGTGGATTAATTAGAGTTGAAAGAATTCAACATGTTGAAAGAGGAGGGAGTGGGACCCGCGTTGGACACGTGGCGGGCTCTGGAAGAGAGAGAAGATGAATTATTAGGTGGTGGGGGTAGGGTGTTGAATTTTATTAAACAAAACCATTGTAGAGTGTAAAAGTTGAGTGGGTGTTGAATTATTAGGTGGAAGAGAGAGAAGATGATGTGGAGTGTTAAAAAGTAAAAAGTAGGGTGTTGAAAAACAAAACCATTGTTGATAGTCTTACAGGTGTATTTAGTATTTAAATCAATTACACGGGTACCCGCATCTTTCAAGAAGAAATAATAGTAAAATAAATAGAAATAAAAGTTATTGAACCCTTTTAACTCAAAAGTAGATCCAGCCCCTCTTTTTAATGAATCAGCTCTGATAACTTTGCAGGCAAGAATTGGCAAAAGAACCCCTTTTCACATATTCATTATGAAAAGGTCCCTACGATCGATACATATTGTTGAACTCAATAAATATTCAGCTCTACAACTCATTCACCATCTCCAACCCTAGATGATCTTTAATGTCATGTGCATTCATGCGTGCTTGTGTTTTCCTTTTTTAGAATTTTAACTTGGACCCCTTTTGAGTGTTTTTTTAATAAAAAAACATTAATTGACTAAAATAAGTGCATGCTCATTTATTGGTTCAAGCAAATATTGAAAAGGAAATGATAGCAATCAAATTGACAAATATAAACAGGTGAAGTATTTTTCTTCATGCATGTTTATCTTGTAGGGCCAACTCATAAAGTAACAACAATAGACTTTATTACCCTGAGGGGTTGAGCAATTATAGAGACAGTTGAAAACTTTGCTATTTTGAGTTGGTATTATTGTGTAGCTCCACTTAGTTTTTGATTCTATCTGTCCTCTTTCTTCCACACCACTATAAATTATAATTATAATTTTAGGACCATTAAAGAAGAATAACAACATACAACAGAAAAAAACATATGTACATCTGCAGACATACATACATTAATCGTGAATTGATTAAGACTCGGAAAGTTAATTCATTGTGGAAATAGTAAGATGCATGGAGGAGGAGCAGGCTCTCATTAATGGACACGCCATGCATAAACAGCCAAGTGATGTGATCTTTTCTCACTATTTATGAACATGTGTTCAAAGTTGGTACAAAGAGATGAAAACAACATTTTTCAGGTCATCTTCGTTAGAGCATCTCCAACCCAAAAACCTAAAATAGTATAGTTTTTATATATTATTAATAAAAATATAAATAACAAAAACAAAAAACAAAAAAAACCCGATGGTTGCGCCAATGGTACAATGTTGTGTCATTCCTGACGCAACACTGTAGCACACCGCTATTTCAGCGGGAGCTTTGACACTCCGTTGGAGTGAAAAATCACGCGAACGTGGAGCTTTGGCGCTCCGTTGGAGAGGCCCTTAGGAGTCTTTTTTTAGTTAGGTGAAGATTTCACACATAAACCTTCTTGATTAGTCAAGGAATCATCATGATCTCTGTATTTGTGACCGAGATTGTACTCCAAGGACATAGATAATGACATTAATTGTCAAATCTCGTTGCGACCTCTCTCTTTCTATCGTCGGTCTGCGGCGTAGGTTCTCCTGCTTTGTTGCTAACAATGGGGAGCTGAGGCTAAGGCCGAGAGTCTTATCGTATGATAATCCAAACGGTTGCTTAAGAACCATCCATCTTGTTCTATGCGTATACAACATAAGTTTGTATCCTTCCAACAACATATCAAGCATTTTCAAGATAGGTAGCAAATACTATGGCACGCTGTCCTTCTAAGGGCCGATTTGATATTGCAGTTTTTAGGGCGCTTCTGCTCAAATTTTTTTTTTCCAAAAGGAATCAATAATGGCGTATGGTGAAAAGTTTTTTAGCGTGCTTATTGAAACTACTTCTTCTTTTAAGGGGGGCGCCTTTAGAAGCAATTTGATGATGTTTTTAAAAGTAGCTTCTATTTTTTTTTAATAGTTTACGTACCGTATATACTTTTTATCTTTTACCAATTGTCATTAAGCACAGATTCTACTAAACGTTAACTTAACTGCTCTTTAAGCAAATTTCGATAGTTGATTGCTACACGATTACTTTCAGCGGCTTATATAAATTGCTTCTTTAAACTGTTTTTATAAGCAACTTATTATTATAAGCTCCACATGATTAGTAGGGTACTAAGAGTCCATTCTTAGTACTCTATTACTAATTAAGGTGTAGATGATGTAGAGCTTAGTTTTTCTTCCCCCCCACCATCATTTAGAGTTCATGACTCATGACATCAGGCTTACGTTGATGAATTTTAACTTGCTCATAATTGAGGACAAATATTTGGCATCTATATCTCAATTAGCTAGCTAGCTGGCAACATACACCATCACCAGTAGAGCCCACTAAAGAAGTATGGGAAGTGCACCATAATTAACAACACGAGGAGGCCAGACAAATTTAGTGGAGAACACCTCAAGATACACACGCAGGCTTAAAATAAATAAATAGGTAACTCTTAATTTGAGTGGGGCCGAAGCTTAGGTTATTTTTCATTTTATGAGGAGGAGGAGGAGGAGGAGGAGGGGGCCTTCCCCTCTTTAGAACGTTCCAACGTATCAACCATCGAGATGGCCTACGTTAATACTAGCTTTTATTGATTCCTTGGGCTCCATAATTGTTTGGGCTGTTTCTAAAGTGCTAGAGGGCTGACAAGGACTGGCCTTCTATGGTGAAGTATAATTTTCTTTAAAAGTTAAAAAACTGATCAGACTTGTGAATGAAACAGATAACTAAAAGGTACGCCGTGATTAATACTTACCTTACTTTTAAAAGGTTTTTAAAGTGGATTGTATCAATAAATCTAGTACTCTAATGTTTCTATAATGAGAGGATTGGTTCTCTAATGGTGATGCTTTTCCCCCCCTTCTTTTTACGGAGTCATTATAAAAGCTTTGACTATATGAATGAAAAAAAAAAAAAAACTAAAAGGTATGCTATGAATAGGGGTGTTTCATGAAAACCATCTACACTTTTAAGTTTTTTTTATATATATAGAAATCACCTTATAAGTGGGTTTGGTTTTCACTCAACCACTTTAGGTCAATATTATTCACTTTCTGCCCCAATTACCGAAAATATCATTCTCCCTCCTCACCCACCTTCCTCATCCACCCCGTCTTCACCCTAATCCTCACTAATGTTTCTAACAATGATTTGAGATGAGAGTGGAGGCAAGAGAAGGGTGTGATGGGGCAGAAAAGAGGGGGGGGGGGGGGGTAGAAGATGATGAAGGAAGATGGAAGTAGAATGAGGAGGAAGAAAGAGAGAGGAGATCTGGCGAAGGAGGAGAAGAGGAAGGGAAGATGAAGGACTTAGCATGGGTGGAGGATGGGGTGGGGGGGGGGGGGGGGGGTGGGGTGTTGCTATGAATATGTTTTGTTTTGAAAGGTGTTAAAAAGATAATAAATGGCTAGTACTGAACAGATAGGATATGTCCCTAGTACATAGTGTTTGTGGATTCCTAATTATTTGTCGAAAAAGATAATGCTCAAGCCTTTTGGCAGTTTCCCCCTTCCATTAACCACAAACTTTTGAGCCACACAAGAATACCCATCTGATCCTCGTCAGTGTTAATACAATCATGCATTGATGGGTACAAAGGTCCCTACCCATGTTAAGCAGTTAGTTGACAAGTTACAGAAAAATATTCTCAATATACAAACTTATTGATGTACTTTTATGTGTCTGAATTTTCATTGCTAAGATGCTTTATGTAAGGGCCATATAACTTCAATCTTCATTCAATCCTAATTTGAAATAAAAGGGCTTTTTTAAACAAAACCACCACACAATATAGTGGTTTTTCAGAAAACCATCACATTTATTTCTTTTCATAGAACCACTACAAAATATAGTGGTTTTTTTAGAGAACCACAACACATTTATTATTTTTATAGAACCACCATGAAAATACGCATCCATAATAAAGTGCCACCAAATTTTAAATTTGCATATATATCATGTTAAACTAAATAATATGCACCCTCATGGTGAGACCCACCAATCTATTATTACATTTTCTCAAACCAACAATTTACGTGAGCACCGTTGATGACCCAAATGGTTAGGAGGTTTCAATATGCCCCCACTATCTTGAGTTCAACTCCCGAGCACCTCATTACATCAAAAAAAAAACTTATTTCCCTCTAATTCTTTGTTAAATCCCTGAAAAAGGTTTTAATTCCCTCCAAATACCCCCACTCATCCTCTCTAAAATTTTGTCATAATGGTCATTTATGTCATTTTATACTATTATTTAACAAAATAATGATGTAAGTTATGACTTGGTGGACTTCATAAAAAATACATATTTTCCTGATGGTCCTATAAAAATTAAAAATTTTGTTGGGGTTTTCTAAGAAACCAGTATATTTTGTGGTGGTTCTATGAAAATAATTTTTTTGTGGTGGTTCTCTAAAAAACCACTATATTTTGTGGTGGTTTTGTATAAAAACACCCAACAATAAAACTTAGAGGTATAAGACCTAAACAATTTCATAATTTCATGTCAATCCATCAGAATATACATATATTTTTTACAAGCTAGAAATTCATGAACAGCTCATTGTACATGTCAACGGGTTGGTCCTTGGTAGGGCATCACAAGTTGATGCATGTCCTTTTGCTGGTAGTGGATCACTACAGCAAGAGTGAGCCATGAATTCAAGCTACACATCACTCAAGATGCACCACATTAACACCCCCAACAGTATTCTGCTGCTAGGCCATGCTCTTTCAATGTACCCTTCATACTTTCAGGGTATAGGATTGTGATGAACTGCAGAATGCGTGATATGTATATGCCCTACATGATCTTTCCATATCTTAAAACAAAGGTGATCAAGGGACTATAGAAGATAAGCTCAACGTGATGGTGACTACATAACCAACCATGATGTATGGTATCCCTACAATACCGATTGATGCCACTCCGTGAGTCAAATGAAAGGAAAGATCAATACCGATTGACGCCACTCCGTGAGTCCAGGTTCCAGCAAAACCAGAAAGAAAATCACCGGTGTCTTGGTAAGAGCAGAAATATAGGACTGAACTAGCATTTTAGGGGCTGTTTGGCTCCCTGTTTTTGAGGGAAAAGCTCTCTTGAAAGCCTACCAAAAGTGTCAAAAGTATCACTTTTTGACAGGCTTTCAAGCAAAACCGCCTCTAAAAAAATCGATTTTGCTTGAAAACCTGCCAAAAAGTGACACTTTGGCCGGCTTCAAAAAATCTTGAGAAAATATATTGACAGGCATGTCAAAAGAGAGAAAAAGATCGGTGTGATGTTCCCTATAAAGAACGGGGAGGTGAAACGTCGAAATCAGAACGAGGCTGATTGTGAACAAAAAAGCGAAAAAAAAGGACAGCAGCCTGGAGTCGCCGAAGGCTCGATTTTCTTTTAAAATATGGAAAATATTTTTCTTAAACACCCAACTTCAAGACTCTAGAACTCTTATATTATTATATTAATGGAAAAGCTCTGATTGATAGCTGTGGGGGGCAGGCTATTAATCATAGGACACGGAAATCAATTAAGTCCAAAGGGTCAGCATTTTGCATGTCCTTCAGTAATATGTTTAAGAGGGTTCAGGCTGTGAGTGTGGGTAGCATGCCATAGCTATGATAAGATTTGCATATAATCCATGTTTATAGAAAACCACACAGTAAGATAACCAGATTAAAACACGTGTTAAAGACAAAGATTCTCTGCCATTACCAGGCTTCCATCTCATTGCTTTATTTGTGCCACCAGCGTAAATTTTGTCTTACGCTTGTTGAATAGTAGCTCAAATCCATGTTACCTTTATTGTTTATTGTCTTTTAGATAGAAAGTTTTAGGGTTTTTTTTTTCCGTGACTGTGATTAGTATGGATTGTGATGTGGTTATAATAAAATCATAGGATTAGTCCAAGGGTCAGCATTTTGTTTGACCTTCAGTAATATATTAAGAGGGTTCAGACTGTTGAGTGTGGGTTGGCATGTCATAGCTATAATGTTGCAGAATGTGCTATGCGGACTAGGCATTTGAACTAGCGCCTAACACCTAGACATCTAGGTGGTGCTTAAACCTTTTAAATTATTTAATTATAATAATTAATAAAAAATATATTAAATTCATATAAGTTGAAAAAATAATAAAGATAACAATCTTAGCTCCATAATATACATACTTAAATACTAAGTAGTCAAAAAAATAGCTAACAAGGCTATAGAAAGCACTTGGAGGCCTAGGCGTTAGATCCAATGCCTAGAGCTCAGGAGGTTTTCTTTTTTTATTTTTTAATTACAATAATTAATAGTAAATGTTAATATTATAGAAAGCTTATGTACCGGATTGATGTCTAGGTAGATTTCTTTCTTCATTTAAGTGGTAGTTGAGAAGGTTTTGCTGAAGGTCAAAGAAAATAGTGGAGGTGTTCATATTTAGATGTTAAAATGAATTTAAACGAGGTTGGAGGACGTGAAGACCGCAACACAGAAAATCACGATTAAGACCTAAATGAAGCAATCCCCATAAGCGGACAATGCTCCTCTAAATACTCTCAACACCTAGGTGGGCAGCCTAGATACCGTCCATACGTTATGCGCTAGGTAGGCAACCTAGGTACCGCCTAGACTTAGGCGTACGTCTTAGCAGACTAGGCGAAGACTTTTTAAACTAGTGCATAGCTACGATAAGATTTGCATATAATCCATGCGTATAGGAAACCACACGGTAGGATTACCAGACTAAAACACATGTTAAAGACAAAGATTCTCTGCCATTACCAGGCTTCTTTCTCATTGTATTATTTGTGCCACCAGCCTAACTTTTGTCTTACGTTCGTTGAATAGTAGCTCAAATCCATGTTACCTTTACTGTTATTTGTCTTCTAGATTGAAAATATTAGGGGTTTTTTTTTCCCAAGAGGTAGGTGAGTGTGATTAGTAATTAGATTGTGATGTGGCCAGTATTGCAGGAGGGGAACAGAACATTACCATCTAAAATCTCCAGTCAAGTAGCTACTCTCCAACGGCACCTTGCCACGTGGAAGGTGAGACTGCCTCCTGCTATCTAAAGGATGAAAATATAGAGCTGGGCAAAAGTCCTGACTTCTCACTCTCCATTACTCTGGCCATTGACCTGCGTAAATTGCAGGATACACTTAATACTATCAAGATTTGACAGCAAACCTTCCTGGTTCTATGGAAAACAGCCAATCATTTCCTCCGTCCTAATAATAGATATGAATACAAATCTCATCAGAACTCATATACGCAACCGCAAAGAGAGCACTTAAAATTCCTAAACTGTCCCCTTACCCTCCCCATGAATGGCTCCAAACGAACAATTTTTTAAAACAGCCCCATTTAAATTTTTTATTTTTAAAATCGACCTAATTTTTTTTATTTACCAAAACCGACCCGTTTTTTTGATTAGCAGCCTAATCATCTTCCTAAACAGTCGGAGTTGCCAACCCCGACTATTTAGGACATAAATTTTTAGGGTTTAAGGCTTCTAATTGGGATTTAACACCCTCCTAAATAGTCGGGGTTGACAACCCCGACTGTTTAGGAGGGTGATTAGGCTGCTAATCAAAAAACGGATCGGTTTTGATAAATAAAAAAAAGATCAATTTTAAAAATAAAAAAATTAAATGGGGCTATTTTGAAAAATTGTTCTCTCCAAACACCCTATTTCTATGCGGGTTTATTGTAAAAAAAATTGTATGAAGCAAATAGCCCATATACTGTCATAAGAATCCGTCAGCAAATCCTCTTGTTACCCTATGTCACATAATATATATATATATATATATATATTATATTATATATATATATATATATATATATATATATATATATATATATGTATATCATTTAAGATTATTGGAGGGAAAATCTCCCGCACGTTATTTTAGAGTTAGCAAAATCCTTGTAGTATATAAACTGGTGCACGGGCACTTCTACAGAAATTAGTAGGACCAAAAATTACCCGCTTATCTAAATAAAATAAGGAGTTTTTCCATCAAATCTTGATAATACAGGGATATTTTCTACAGTTTTCTCTCCTTTTATCCTTGGCTCAACTTTCTTTCACATTCAACCACTAGTTTTCATAACTTGCACCTTGAAAAAGAGTTGTCGAAAATGAAGACCGTTTGCTCTTGCTAGGATGCAGATGTTCGCGGACAGATTGCTGTTGTCAATTCATGATATTATCATTGATTTCACTATATGATATTCTCTAACTAAACATCATACTGATAATTGCCAACATTGACATAACATACATTGTTGTTCAATGATACTTGTATTATTTTGAATTTTTCAAGATTGATATTGCTACAGGATGGATATTGTACCCACATGCTAGTCTTAGAAAATAGTAAAATTGACATGCCAGGAGAGGGGAAAAGATTGGTATTATTTCTCTTAAACCTGTCTTAATAACTAAGGAAAAGAACTGAATGTTTATCCTCAAATCTTTGGCAAATTCCTAATACCCAACAAAAAATGGTGAGGTGCAACGTCAAAATCAGAAGCTTTGTTATACTAACATTATCAAATAGGATAGTGATGGACAAAAGCATGCAAAACATAGCTGAGTAGTGTGGTTCTACACACCGCGTACATACAGAAGACAGTCTCCGTTGAAAACATGGAAACTGTTTTTTCTTTAACACCATCATCAATAATCTAGAGCGCTTTGCACCCATCATATTCATCAAAATCTTGATTAAGTATATAAATAGCATCTAGAACGCTTAACACCCATCATATTCTTTAAGCGGGACCTCTGATTAATGGTTGTTTGTATGCTATTAATATACTTAATCATAGGACACTGAAATACACTGAGTCCAAATAGTCAGCATTTGTTGACAAAAATAAATCAGTCCAAATGGTAATTGTATGTTCTTCAATCTTCAGTAATAGATTAAACAAGGGCCCAGACTGTGGGAGAGGGTAGCATGCGTAGATGTGATAAAATATTATATGTACATTGTGTAGAGAAACCAAGGAGTAACAAGAGATCCAACACAAACACAAGAGTAAGATAACTTGATTAAAAACTCCACTCAAAGACAGAGGCTACAAACACGCTACTCTGCAATAACCAAACTTTGTTTTCATTGTTTTATTTGTGTCACCAACCTAATTTTGTCTTGTGCTTGTTGAATGGTAGCTGAAATCCATGTTCCCTTCATTATTTATTAGGCTGTTTTCAGAATTAGAATGTGATTACTACTTAATTAAAGTTTTACGTGAAACCTCTAGCTTGTCTAACAGATAACAACATCATCATCACGTGACAAATAAGTGCATGAAGTGAACATAATCTTACCATCCAAAATCTCCAGTCATCCTTCATTGGCAATTTGCCATGTGGAAGGTGAGACTGCCTGCCTACTATCTAAAGGATGAGAACTGGAGCAGGATAAAAATCCAGACTTTCTCTCACTTTCTGTTTCTCTGGACATTGATCACCGACTGATCCAACTACTGTGGTTTTATATGGGTAAATCACATAAATTTAGTGATGAGGTGTTTTTTGCTGAATTCAATAGAAGAGAAGTTTCTCTACTTACGAACATAGAAGAGGAGATCTTATCTACAAACTTTGTATTATATAGGGATTTTCTACAATTTTCCCTTCTTCTATAGCTTACTACTGTAAATCCAAAACATTGCACTGATCTAACCATATATTGTTTGTGATGATATCTGATATTGACCATTGTCAGCATTTACATAATTACATCCAATATTGTTTTAATTATACTGTATAGAATATTGACTTTTTTTTTTAAATATTGACATTGCTGTCAAGTTAATGAAATTGCTCCCATAATGTTGTTCTTGCCAACATTACAATTTACTTGATAATGTCTTAGTTTATGAGATAATATTTTACAATTCAGAATCTAAATAGAAAATACCCAAAATTGCCAATACTTAATAGGACTAAAAGGCTCTTAGTTACAGGTAAAGGATCAATACACAATAGGAAAAAGATTAAAAGTGTCAATGCAATTATTAGGGGAGGAGTTAAAAAATAAAACTGAAAATTTAAAGGCCAAGAACACATTTTCCTCACTTAAATGAACTGCTTAATGAAAAGATTTTGCAATGAAAATGATAAGTAATAATATTTGACATTGGTGAACTCAAGCGGGTACTAAAATCTACATTTTGCCCGAGAATGACCACAATAACAGCTACCTTGTAGAAAATCTGTTGAACTACATGCATGCATATGAATGAACAAGCTAATGCATCTATTTTTTCGGCGGTATCTTCGTGCAAAGATATATGGTGTGTGCGCATGTGTTTCCATGATAGTTGTCAAAATTATGTGTGTGACTGTGTGTGTTTCCATAGTAGTTGTCAAAACTATGTGTTGATATTAGGAACTGAACGAAAAAACAAGGTCCATGATTCGTAAGAGAAGCACTGCAAACTCTTAGGAGCAGTTATCCAGTCTCCATGTAAACATTCCATACCTGAGAGTAGCTGAAGATTTATATCATATGTCTCAAGTATATTTGGCATCTGACATCAAGCAAGACTTCTCTGCCAAACAAGAATTCAACCTGCATGACAAACCTAAGGCATTAGATAATGAGGACAAGAATTGGCAATCTTCCATTTTAGCTTAGTTGACTTTCTTTATTTTCATTTTTGAAATTCGAATTTTGAATTTGGTTTAGTTTGGCATTTGAGTGATTTTAGGCTTTCTTTATTTTCATTTTTGAAATTCGAATTTTGAATTTGGTTTAGTTTGGCATTTGAGTGATTTTAGGGAATTTGTTGAGTGATTTGAGGGATTTTATTTTGTGAGATTTTATTTTCTTCTATTTAAACCCTATTGTAATTCAGAATGGAATCAATGAATTGAATGAAATATTGCTAATTGAGTTTTGGGTGTGAAACCTAAACCTTGGGTGTGAAATCCTAGGTTGTTCCCGTTCTTCTTTCTTCTTTCTCCAGTCCCCTTTCACCCACGACCAAGGTTTTAAATGTCAATTATCGGGGATTTATCGGACGGTCAAAATCCTTATCGGATAGCGGAAATCGGGGATATATCGGGGATAAGTAGTATTTATCGGAGTAATATACTAGCAAATAATAAACAAACATAAGCTTGAAAAAAAATATAATGTTAGTCAAAATGGAATAATAAACAAGCAAATAATAAGATAACATCAAGAATGAAGAACCATCTACGCATCTACATAATTATTGTTTAATCATGAGATTTATAAACTAACTTACTAAGTTGATATTTAGTAGTTATGAGCCATTATCAATATCCATAAACAAACATTAGCCAATTACCAATCAACCAAGTTCCAAAAGCAACAAATATCTCATAATTTGTAAACATTCAAAGAGCAAATTCAAAAGAAAGTAAAAGCTCCCAAATCCTACTTATCGGTCGATAAAGCCGATATTTAGAGCCTACTTATCGGCCGATAAGTGCCTTTATCGCCAATAACTCGCCGAGAAACTTCAAAAAACGATACCGATTAAAAATCCTACTTATCCTAGCGGAAAGCTCCCAAATCCGATAACTCGGCGATAATATCGGATTATCGGCCGATATTTAAAACCATGCCCACGACAACACAGTCCCCTTCCCAACTCCCGACAGCCCCAAACACCAAACCATCCGCTCTCCTCTTCTCCCTCACCTGTAAATCCTAACCCGACACCCCAACTCCCCCTCCCTGTTCCCTCCTCCAACCGCTCCCTGTCAACCTCAACAACTTGACGCCCAGCCCCGCCAACGTCTTGACGTCATTCATCTCTTTCGACGAGCAGCCCCTCTGCGACCCCGCCAACGCCTCGTCGTCGTTCATCTCTTTCGACGAGCAGGCCCGACGAACAGCCCCGCCAACACCAACAGATATGCTCGCCTGGCCCTCCGGTCATTGCTATCGTCGTCGTTCTATCGATACAGTCACCCGCCTCATTTTCTACTGCAAACACGACTTCCTCTCTTCTCCGACGCTGCCGCATTTCCAGGATCTCTCACGTCGAGTCTGATCAGACCGACGAAGGTCTCGTTTTCTATCCCTCGGTATTTTTCGTTAATCTTATTTTTATTAGTTAATTGCATGGGTATATCATCTCTAAGCTCTTATCATATATTCACTGTTTGATAAATTTGTGAGTTGAGAGTAACTGAATATGTGACTGCTGAAAAATTAATATTGATTATCGAACTTGTGCAATGATAATGAATACTGCGATTAAATTGATCGGGATTGGAACTAGTCATGATCATAGTTGCAAATCTTGTTAAAATCTATTTGTCACATTAATTGTTTTTGAATTAATTTCCTGCCGAAGATCATGAATTTTGGTGAGACGGTGCGTTATTCGATTTAAATCGCTGATTCTAATAGACCCCTCTCACGTTTCGCATCATTAGAACTGCTATAAATGAAGCAATAGAGGATCAAAATGTTTTACAATACAGCAAAAAAATTATAAAGAACTGGTTTATGACTCCATACTTTTCATAGCTCCACTCTGCATGTTAGAAGCAAGGCATGGTCATGGATGTGTTCTAAAACTCCTAAACCTGACAGCAAACCATGCAGTTAACAGTTCAATAAAACAATTAAAGTATCAGGCACAGGCATAAAGCTTATTAATGTAATTCCTGAACCTTTTACAACATTCAAGTTGTAAATGGCTCACAGTTATGGATTTACCCGAACTGACTGTCTTACTCTCAAATGTATTTTCCTCAAAACAGTCACAGACATCTAGACACAAACATATTAAGAGCATGAGGCGCATGAATCTGCCTTTTTTGTATTATTATTTTTCCCATAAACTTTTCTATTAAGCAAAGGAAGCAAGTAACAATATATTTTAAATTATATATGTTTGGCTTAAGTAATTGAAGGTTTTTCATCCGCTTTTAAACTGCTCCATTCGACAAAGTTGTTGGTTTTGGATAATTTGTTTTCTCCCCGTCAGCTACTTGCTTTGACATGGCAGTTACTAGGCGTGAAAAACCATATCCATGGTCGCAGATATATCCATAACCATATCCTTTAGGATACGGATATGCTTACTCAAATCTATAACCGATAGGATATGGTAAACGGATATAGTTATATAGAGAAATATCTAGACCCGGATGCAACCTATCCGAATATGTTGATCATACAACTATGATTGTTTCAATCCTTAGATTAATGAATTTAAGACTAATTTTGATGACCAAGAGATCCAATCTTAAACTTTCAAATATAACAAACATATTAATGAACTCTCTTATATTATAAGAACCATGTTTTTTTATATTATTTGGTTTCCCTATCCGTTTTGTATCTGCATGTATATCTATATCCGTATTCGATTTTACTGGATATAGATATAAGTTTTCCTTACCTTATTGAGTAAGTTGCAAAAGTTAACAGCAACAAGGTGGACTAAAGAATAACAAGGACAAATTGCAATTTGCGAGTGTAGAGGTGAAAGCAAGAAAGAAGGAGATTAGCAAAGAACATAAATGGTGAGCACATCATTCATGATTGATTAGATAGTGAATATGCACGCTAAAGTTGGAAATGTCAATACATGAAAAGAAAATAGGCTGTTTGGTATCAAGAATCACCAGATAATAAAAAAAGAGATGGATAAACAGTCACGATAAGGAGGAAAGGAAGATACAACAAGGTTCAAGAGTTAAAGCACAGAACCCACGGCTTCTTTTCCTGACGACCGCTTAGAAAGGAACGGGAACTGTAAGTATAATTCAACATATTTTTGTAAGTATAAAGTTGGCAATTGTCAAAAAAAGTGTAAGAGACAAGCATAGTACCATAAGTGGATTGTGCCCAAGCACCAGCACGACCTCCTCTTCTATGTCTGTAGCATGCAGTCTGCCAAGAAAAAAGTAGTTCTCTCAAGACAGCTCATATGATCTTAGGTGGTGTTTGGTTCAATTTCTATAAATTATAGGAAAAGAAAAACACCCAAATTATAGATTTCCTTGTATTTCTTAAAAAATATTATAGGAAAAGTTTTGAGAAGTCAAAAGGTATCAATTTTCTTGTTTTTGTACTTTCTTTGTTTGGTTCAAAACAAGAAAATACGCCCATTACTTTATAGAAATAGCAAGTTTTCCTTTTCTTTTGTTTGGTTATATAAAACTTATAGAAAAGTATCAAGTACCATATTTATCACTTTATAACGGCTAGTTTAACGGCTAATTTCACATTCTCAAATCTTATAAAATCCTTCTATCCTCAACTATCCATGAACCCAAAGTTTCCTCTTGTGAGCCAATTTTTTTTATTTTTTTGGAAGGTGATACCTCTTGACTCACATCAATAACATTGATTTGAGGTCCACCAGATTCACCAGTGGTTGGTGACATTTATTGTGGACCAATGCCTTGAGAACTCAAAGACGGGATACAGAAGCCTTGAGAACTGTTCAACAAGTTAGTATATGACACATGTTGGCTCATTCCGCTATAGTTCCCTTCAAATGGTGGGAATTTCGGGAAAGAATTCGTCGTTGTATGTAGCGCAATAAACGGTTGATTTGGGTATGGCATAAAGTTGATATTAATAACGCCTAAATCATTTGCGGTGCATGTGGTGAATAGGGCAAGTTGGTCTTTCCTCCCTCTTTGTTAGACATACTTATATTCAATGATAACAAAGAACCATGAATATGTAACACAAACTAAGATAGTTAATTAAGAATTACATAGATGCAAGTGAGGAATGATAAATTACATTGTCCATACAAACACAATTATGAAATAGTAGCATACACAATAAAATATGCGAAAACAATAAAACTACAAGCTAATTTCTGTGGTATCACCATCTTTATACTTTGCGCAATAATCAACCCACATTACCCAAGCAAGTTGTCCTTAAAGACCTTCCATTCATTTCTTGCATCACAATCCTCTCTTATTATCCTAGATTGAGTGTAGTCAACTACATTTGTGTCATCTTCATTTGTCACCTCCTCATTCTCCTCATCAATTTCAGCATGCTCATTCAAAATGTCATCTTGTGGATCTTCAATTACAATAAAATTATGCAATATAGTACATGCTAAGACGATGTCCACTTGTATAGGGAATGGATAATTAGGCTTCACTAAAAGAATTTTGAACGATTTTTCAATGTATCAAATGTTGATTTAATTTTAGACCGTAAATAAGAGTGTCTTAAATTGAATAACTCTACTATTTTTGGGTGTCCTACCAGTGTGTTCCTTTAAATGATAACGTACACCACGGTACAAAGAGATAAAGCCAGGCATGATAGTGTATCCAGCATCACAAAGGTAATATTTGCCTACATTATAAAAAAAATTCGTGATCAATTCGACCATATTATTTAGTTGACTATTTATTAAATGAGTTGGAAGATTACCATCATATACTCTCAAACCATAAGGTTGTGGTCTGAACAACGCGTCTTGTAAAATCCTATAGTCATTTGTCGCACCTTCCCACCCAGCTACGACGTATGTGAAAATTTTATTTGGAGTGCAAGCGGCTAAAACATTTTGCGTTACACCTTTACGCCGTGCAACTAGGTTAGAAGGTAACATTGCGTCAATGTGTGTTCCATCTATCATATCAATGCAATCCTATGAAAATAATACATTGTGATAAATATTAGTTTCTCATATTTATTAAATTATGCAATTCACTAACGATAACAATTCATTTCTCTTACCTTGAAGTAAGAAAAATAGTTTAGATTGTTGGCGATCTCCGATGGAATCTCATTAGGTGCTTACTTCATGTATCAACCGCGAAGACCATTCATAGTATGTAGAACTTTATTGAAGTACATACTAACTGTTTCATCCGATCTTATGAATTCGATCCTTATTACTCTATTTTTTGTTTTATGACCCACTATGCTCATGAACATAGCGAGTTGTTCTTCAACTTAAAGGTGTATTATGTCCTTTAAAGAACCATTATTTCGCAAAATATCCGCAAGTTTAAAAAATGCTTTAGGCCTCATTCTAATATAAGACCTACAACTATCACTATATCCTTCAAAGACACGCTTGAAGTGGGCGTTTCTACAAAAAAAATTCCTCATCTTATCTTCTCTTGAAGCATTACAAATTGATTTGCGCCTAGCACCCAATCTCAATAAACAAGCTATTATTGTAACCATGAAAGATATAGACGTATTAGCACACATCTTCTTTATTTGTTCTTCATTACACCATCTATCTATATTAATTACAAAGAAAATATAGTTTAAAACGTTTATGCAATAATAGAACATAGTCATGCAAATGGTTGAACTCATGATGCCGATGTTTGCATATAGAATTTTATAGCTATTACCAAAGAATATTATTTATAACACTATAATAACATAAAAAATAACTATCCAAGATATATGCTAGAATTATCAAGCATATGAAATATATTTTGTCAATATTTTCTCATCTAACAATTAATAGACTCATTTTCAGTCTCATTCATGCCACAATATTAGTAAAATCAACAACTAAACAATAACATATATTCAACCGCAATAGATCAAAAAATCCAAACCCATAATTAAGCCATAATTTTCTTTATAGTCAACTGCTCAAATGATTGATGATTTCAACATGCTAATTAAGCCACAATAGTAACAAAATCGAGAGCTAAGCAAGATCTGATAATCGACTAAAATATCAAATGAAAGAATTGAAAAATCAACCGAATAATCTCAAATATTCAAGGGGTTTAGAGGTTTATTTTTATACCTCAATAGCTCAGAAGATCAACGACGGAATCACTGATTTCCGCTAAAAACCACAAATTCCCAAATTAGTCGCAAGAACACTGACGGTCGTATGTGGCGAAAGCCCTAGTGGGTTGATCTCCCTAGCGAATGGTCGCAATAATCAAGGACGAGAGATCGAGGTTAGGAAAAATCGAGGTAAGGAAATATTGAGGATGAGAGCTCGAGGTAAGGAAAAAATCAACCTAAATTAGCCACAAGAACACCGACGAACTAGAGCGAAGCCCTAGATCTTCGAGCTCGCTAGCGATTGGCGGGAATAATCGAGGACGAGAACTCGAGATAAGGAAAACTCGAGCGAGAGAATGGGTTTGGGGGCGGGAACGAAGGAGGAAGCCCTAGATATTTGTCGAGTTCTAGCAGCCATGAGAAATGTGAAGTGGGGGCGAAAATGTGATTAGGGGGTGGGTTTAATATTTTAATAATAGGTTGTCAGTTTTTTGGGTGTTTTCAGCCCATTTTGAGTGAAAAATAATTTCTGTAAAATTGTACAGATTTCTGTAATTTACAGAAATTTTTTCTGTAAATTCAATGTTGAACCAAACACAATTTTTGGAAATTGTAGAAATTTTTTATTTACGAAACTGCCATTGTCCGAACATTTCCCAAAACTTTTCTATAAAACACCATAACCAAACACCCCCTTACAATCCTCTACTTCAAATTGGAGGTTCTGCATGTTTTCTCACCGAACTAACACATTCATCTCTGTTGAGTTGGATTCAACCAATAAACAAATCTTCTTATCAGAATTTTTCTTTTACTTTTTCAGTAGTAATCTGGCACTTTGAGGAAAGATTTTGAAAGCAGATAAATCAGTAGCAGTATCTACCTCCTTGCAGCAGCCATCATCAAAAGAAAATTGTCCTCTTCAATTTTGAAGATATGGAAATTTGAAGTCTAGCCACCCCTTCCAATATCTCTTTAGGCTTTTAAAAAACAGGCACCAACAACATAAAAGAGCATACAATGGATCTCCTCCTACCCAAAACAGGAATTTTAATTTACAAAAAAAATATCAAGTAAAAATATCTCCTTTGGTAAATAAATACAAGTTAGATATTACAGTTTTTAGAATAATCATTTCCTTACAATTGATGAAACCTATTACGATAGTCAAAATGCCTGCTCAGCCACAGGGCAAGGATATTCATCAAAGCAATAAATATTATAAGATAGCTTAACCTGTAAATACGCATGCCAAACATACAGAGTAAACTACTTTATCTATGTACAATTCCATAAAGGGATGGTAGACAATTACATTTGATGGCCTCAACCGTTAATATCAAGAATCAACACTTTAAAGATTTTTACCTCTTTGTGACTTTGTATATGACTTTCTTTATAGATTTCTAAAGCTCATAATATCAAATGTCTCAACATGGAAAGTTATCATCATTTAGTAAGCTATCAAAGAACCACTTGAGGTTTAAAAGCTTCCTAATGAGTTGTGGACCAATAATGTAAATGCCTTGAATATAGATATTTGAACTGTTCAGTAACAAGTTTTGAACTCAAAACCTTTCGAACCATGCTGCTCTACCCAAAAGCTTAACCTGATTGATTATGCGATATATAGCACGAACACCTCTATTATGGGATTTCATTTTGGTAGTTATGTTATTTCATAATTCCACGAACATGGTACACAATTTCTATTAGCATCCTGCAAGTTTATAGCATGTTTTATTTCTCAGCACTCCTTTCACATAGTTGTGAAACTTCTGCAAAATACATACAAATACACATAGTGTCATGAATATCAAATGCTAGGTAAATGACTATTACCCATCCACCACACACCCTTATGCAATGTCCGCCCAAGCAACAAAGAACACTTAAGGGGAAAAACTGGGAGTGGAGTAAACTACGATCGACCCTCATTAGACCATACACCCTCACAAAGCATATGCTCAAGTCAAAAAAAGAAAGAAATACAACAAAAAATATAAGGAGGAGGTGATGTTATTGCATTCATGCATCCCTTATTGACATCTGCTCATCCAGGGGAGGATTCACATTTGCCCTCGGGGTGCAATTGCACCCTAAAATGGGACACTATCTTCTGACTTGCGAAAGCCTCTGAATTTCCACCCAAACAACAAATAGTCCCAA